ACATACATACATACATAGGAATGACAAACCCACGCCACTAGGATCGAGCTTCGCCCCTAATACATATTGCGCTTAGGACTCCAACTTACCAAAATTTTACTGAGCTGGACGCACTTGAACTCGCTCTCACGAAAATTTTCTGACTCCCTCGTACTCAAACTCATCAAAATATTATTCACGCGCACTCTCTCAGACTCAGAGTCACGGCCTAATCTGTGTCCGAGTGAGTCGACTCAGCTCGACGACCTATGCATCAGGGTTGCCTTCGGGGAGATCGTTCATAATTTGTTTTCTCTGGCTGCCTATTGCATTTCCACTGCCTGGATTCCCCCTACCCATTCCGCTTGCGCTCTCGTACGCTACCCAAGAGACCCTGGAGCCTCTCGTAACAACCTCATGCCAACGACGGGACGTCCTGGTTAGCACACAGCCAGCCCACCTGCAACTCCCTTGGAGGCTCAGACCGAGACTACCACAATGACACGACCTGCAAACGAAACGAGACACCCTGAGACTGACCAAGAAGCCCAAGACCAGCCTCAGCATAGCACCTCCACTACAGGAACTTCAAGGTTCAACTGCAATGCCACGCGTCTCGCGGTTCAGCAGGAACATGTGCAGGTTGATGAGACTCGACCTATGAACATTGTTTCCCTTCAGACCAAGAGTTCTGGTGCATGTGTGTGTGTTGCTCCAGTTTACCGAGTGGTTAGTGCGGGGGGGGGGGGGGGGTGTAGTGTATGGCAGTACCTTTAGATGCCTGTATTATTCATATAGTGTACAACAGTACTGCCAGATGGCAGCACAGCATGTACTGGTTTAGTATAGTAAGGACTGCCAACAAACCTGGCATCACTTGTCCTCCAGGAGACTCGTCTGTCGTGTCACTTACTTGGCTGATGCGCTCAATTCGCTTTGAAGGCGTGTTCCTTATACGTTATCGTGAAGTACTGCTCTGAAGACGATAGTCCCCTCAAAAATACTAGAATTTCATTAAAAGCTGTATATCAAATTATCCCAGCATCTCCACCAGATGTCGCGGGGTCGTGACGTGGACGAAGGGAGCGGACTATAGATCGAAAATGAAACTGTTCATTCGGGCCGAACTTGTGGAGAACAAACGAAAAGTAAGATTGCAGCGACACACACTGGAACAGAGGGCGGCGACCAGAGCATTAGCCATCGATAAACTGACAAGCGGAAAAGTGCGTCGGCATTTATACACGTGCCGTCGAATATTCTAGCGTTATCCCTGGCAGCCACGTAGGTTCCAGAATAATCTGTAATGTTCGAGGAGTAGGCGCAATCTTAACGAAATAATCTGCTACTGTTCCGAAGCTTCTCGAACACTGCAGGCGCAATTTGCGCTGAGAATTAGGTAGAGTGTAAGGGCTGGTTGATGGGCTGGTTCAGACCAGCGGCCGGCGCCAACCGCAGGAGAGCTCCTCCGACAAACATGGCTTCCCTTCCAAATGCAGTTGTCGACCGCCTCGAATCTATCAAGCGGCCACCGTGCTCTCTGTAGCTCGTAAGCTCCGAACGGATACTTCCATTTGCTTTAGACTCGTGTCCTTTAGCTTCGACAACACAGTAGTCGAATCGATTCGGCACCCGTTCTTGAGAACCATACTCAAATAACTGACGTTCTAGGCCCAAGGAAGCCTTTTCAAATTTTGGAGGACATACATCACACGTTTGTTTGTTTTTGGTAACGCTGGATAGCTGGCGCTACATGTCCATACGTCTGCCTTGGGGACGTCATTTTGAATTGCTGTGCGCTTGTTTTGAATACCGGACAGACTAAAATTATCTATTCGCTGCTGGAACGTAGTCTGGGAACAACGCGTACGGCATAGCACGGAAACCAGGGAGCAAGAAGCAAGCAGCTCGAAGTGTCCCACGGCAGACGCAGACGATGTGGAGAAGCGAAAACAGACGACACGGCTCAGCCATGCCGCTCCTCCGTCGGTGATTGGCTACGTCACTGTGCGGCAAACGGCGCAAAAATGGGTCTCGGATCCATTTTTCGAACGGCAAACGGCAGACGTGCACGAACGGAACAGCCGCGCCCGGGTGCCTGAGAACGTCAAACGGCGAGGCATGCTTGCCGTTAGCGTCAACCGGCCCTAACGAGAGCGATAACAAAACTTGAGGGAACGAATGCCATTTTACATTTTATAGAAACTAACTCCCGTGTCGGTTGTACATATGCAGGAATATATATATATATATATATATTATATATATATATATATATATATATATATATATATATATTATATATATATATATATATATATATATATATATATATATATATATATATATATATATATATATATATAATATATATATATGTGTGTGTGTGTGGTGTGGGTGTGTGTGTGTGTGTGTGTGTGTGTGGTGTGTGTGTGTGTGTGTGTGTGTGTGTGTGTCCATTCATGCGTGCGTCTGTGTGCCGAGAGAGAGAGAAAATGAAATTACACTAACATTGTTAATGCAGGGTGTCTACAGAGAAGATCGAACATGAAGTCTTGTTCACTATTCCCGATTTTGGTGAAATTTACTGCAGGCCAAGGCCTTAAACCCATGCATAACGAGGGTTTCAAAGTTGGTTTTGTGAAAAAAAAAAAAGTATTCGTCTGAACAATAACATCTGTAAACTTTGGCCGCAAAAATATTTTTTTGCTAAGTCTGCAATTTCGGAACTTTGAGCGCACCTAGAGAGAGAACGGAGCATAATATTTATTCCCGTGAATAAAAAATGAAATTCTATATTATGAGTCTGTCGTACACCTTACCTATCGAAGCGCTTTTGAAAAAAAAATATCACCAATATGGCAAATCGCACAAAATGCCACTTTTTCTGTATTTTATTGCTGCAAACTAGTTAAACATGAATAATAAAACGCGGTACGTATTGACTTTGACATTTGGCCTTTCTCGTAAAATAATGGCGGTCTTATTGCGTTCCGTTTCACTTCATAATTGTGGTAAAACGTGAATGATTATAGCGAAAAAGCTGAAGTGTAAAAGCACTTTTTTTTTTCAAAAAGGCCATTTTCGATCTTTAAAAAATTCTCTCTCATTAGAATCAAGAATATCATTCACCATTACCGGTAAAACAAAAGAAAGGTCGCGTTATTTTGGTTGTTAACAAATTGTAATATCTAACCGCTGACCAAGTCAGGTTTGTGGCAGCTCCACTTATTGTGTGGTGAAAATTGGATGTAAGTAGTTGAAAATAACTTTACGATACATATATAACTAAAACGCTGCAGCTTCGCAACAATAAATGCACATAGAATAACAAAGATCTCAGCAAGTTGGTACGCATTAATTATAAAAAGACGGGGCGTGCACACACGAACGCAAGAAGGCGTTTGTGGTGTCCTAACTTCATTCTTGTGTCCGTGTTTGCATGCCCTGTCTTTTTAAAATGAACAAATGCGCAGCATGGTTGACTTGTGCGGCAAAGCACCTAAAGGGGTGGCACAAAACCGGCCCCATACATTCACATAATAGGGAGGTGGGTGCTGCGAAAAGCCTCCCCCCTCCCCCCCCCCCTGTAGTGGTATCCTGCCTACGCCCATGAGAGCAATTACACTTTGACTTGTTCGACCATCGTGGGCACGTATGACAGCTTTCTTGAGATGTCACGGGCTTTCTTTTGTGTTATATATTGCAGATATAGTGAACCTAATTATTTAAGGCCATAAGAAGGGAGGAAGCAACACATCAACTCATTACTGAGACGTGAGAGCACTTAACTACAGTTAATCGATTGACAGTCAATTAGTGTCGTTTGGCCACCATTCAATGATCAGTACTGAGTCCCAGTCATTAGATTACAAAGCAATGTTAGGTACTATAGAACATAATTGTACTAATTAACGTAGTCCTAATTCGCTCTAACTGCAGTGATTCAGCTTAATTAGAGCGCTTTGAACATGAGTAAGCTGCATCACCTTGAACTTAGCTTCACTAACCTAAGTTGGCGTTAGATTGCAATAATTTAGATTGAATTTAGATTAAATGCTCGTCATAATTAGACTATATTATGCTCAACTATACCTCCTATGACTCAACTGGGCTAATATGAGTTTAACTTGGCTTAACAAGGCAAATAATGTAAGCTGGAAGGCTTAGGTTCATCTTAATACAACTTAGCTAGGTTGCTTTAATTTGGAGTTCTTAAACTTACATAGTCTTGATTAGGTTCGAGTATTCTTACATTAAGCCAATTGGCTTGACTATGCTTATCTGTATTTTAACTAGGCTCAATGTGGCGAAGGCAATGAAGTTGGGCGGTGTTTCTGTTCATGTCACGGCCCTCGCGGCAAACGAAAATCTTGGACAGCTCCGTTGTTAATAATAATGGGACGAGGGATACTGCAACACATCATTTAGTTGGGCTAGAGTGTTCCAATCTGATGTTATGCAAAGATGTGCTATAATTCTCACAGTTGCATTGCTAAGGGCTGTATAAATGGCACGTACAGACAGCTGAGTTTAATAAACATTTAGACAGTGGAGTTTAATAAACATCACGGCAAAGGCAACATCGAGAAGCCGTTTACGCGCTATCAAAAGCACACTTGTAGTGCAATCGAGCTGATGTAACGTGTGTTGACGAACTTCTTTTCCCGGTTCTTTCCTCGAGCCTTCAATTACACTACCGCGGAAAAACCAAGGCCGTTCGCCGCCAACAAGGCCGATAACACGTTGGCGCTCTCACAAATGCAACCTCGCAAAGTTATTGCGTGAAGTTTACCGAAGTAAGTACTACTAAACTTGTAACGCACCTTCGTTTCACCAGTTCAATTTTCTACCGATGTCTGCAGAGAAGCCGCCGCAATGAAAAACGTGGCCGTGTCCACGCTTTACCACTTACCGGCAGCTTGTTTCCTTATTTCGGTTTCGCACTCCGATACACGTGGCGTATTTTGACGGCACCTCGTTTCCCGCCCGTCAACACTGCGCGCATCCATAACCATGGAAGCGAGCAGAGACGCCGAAGACGATCGACTCGGCATGTGACAAATGTTGCGGCGGCGAGCTACTTCAGCCTCGCCCGTTCTTCAGGTTTCAGCGTGGTGAAGTGGGAGCAACCACGATGAAGCTGCTAAAGCCAAACTGGGTGACCCATGACGGTACGTTTGCGGTAGACGCGCATTGTTAGGCTTACATTTGCGTGTTTATCAATGGGCAAAGCTCGCCGGTCGCGTACTGGCGTAACACAAAGAGAGGAAAGGAGCCCGTGTGTACCGGCTTCATCATGCGCGGTACTTAAAGCCGCTCTAGTATTGGCTGCTTACGTGGTGTAATAGATGATATATTGATGGTAGGACACCACTCCGATGTCTCGCGGCGGAGCTGTTGTGATCACGGACACCACGGCTTCAGGACCGGTCTCGGATACTTCGATCCCTAAGTGCTCGCTAGCGCAGTACTCCGAGGCCGCCATGTGAAACTGAGAGATCATAAATGCACGATATTTTAACGCCGTTCGCGCAATGGGAGTCGAAGGGGGATATTTTCTGTTCACATGTTTGCGAGCGAGTTGCAATTCGCCAGTGGTTCGGCAGGTAGAAAATATAAATATGAAAATATCGCTCTAAATGTTTTCGACGCCTTAAACATTCCCTTATTTCAGATATTCAAGAATTGACCGTGCTTTGATCTTGAGGATAAGGCGTAGTTGTGGCGTTTACGTAACCGCTCTATCGTGCCGGCTTTCAGCTGCACGTAAGCGACGATGTTTGTAGTTTTTGCGCTGATTGCTCGCAAATGTAATATTTACACTTGTCGCGTGGAATACTGAAGAAATGTTGTGTGCTTCATATCATCGGCGTGTTATGAAAGCTCAGTTCCCCCATAGTAATCTGCAGTTCTTCGACTATGGCGTAGTACTTCGCCATGAGGCAACTATGGGACGTAAGGCCCCGTCAGTTGAACCGTTTTGTATCACTACTATCGGAGTTTCCCTGGTTTGGTAATTTCGAGCGTCTAGCTGGCCTGTTGGGTGCATGCGACTGACTAGTTTGCACAATGGTAATACCTATTCGGAATTCCCAGGTCACCCAATATTTTCGGTAGACATCCATCCCGATGGGTCCAGATTTGCCACAGGTGGCCAAGGTAAGCTCCAAAAACGTTTATACAGTTCAGTGTTCAAGTTGGGATAGGCGACCTTGTGTGCTGGTTTAATTTTGACTTAACATACCACTTTGCGATTGTGGCTTCCTTAGGTGAATCAATACACCTTGTGCACAAGGATGTCCTCTAATCATGTGTCTCCTGCATACAGTAATTGTAACTAGCAGACAAAGCCAGGGAAAGTGTTGGGGATCTTAGTTGTACTATTCTGATGTAAAGGGGAAGAAAGTTAAATAGATATAAAGATAACTTGTCGCTGGCAGGGAGCGAACCTGCGCTGTAGCGCAGTTGGTAGAGCACTAAACACGCAATTCAAAGGTCACAGATTTGTCGGTCCCTGCCAGTGACAAGTTATCTTTTTATCTATTTTACTTTCATCCCGTTTACATCACAATTTCTACCATTTGGATCCCAAAAACTTTCCTTGGCTATCTTGTCTGCTAGTTCTAATTAATACTGTGCTTAGCAATAGCAACAACAAAAAAAAGAACAAGCTCTTATGGCTCCTACTCTTACGACTTAAGGATAATCATTTGAGGTTTATGTGCCTTAGAATCACATGTTGAGCATTCGGTTGGAGAAAAAGGGCAGCGAAAATCGAAACATTTTATGTTGCTTTACATTGTGAGCTGGAAGTAACCAATGCAGGAATATGGCTTAGAAAGGAGCTGACTCCTTTTTTTTTTTCACCTTGTTCCTGTTTCAATGGCAAACAGGTTCAGACTGTGGCCAGATCTGCATATGGAACATGGCTCCTGTAGCAAGGGAGGAAGAGGAGCTGAGCGATTCGGTACCGAAGCTGTTGTGTCAGATGGACAATCACTTGGCGTGTGTCAACTGTGTCAGATGGTCCTCCGATGGTCGACACCTCGCCTCTGGTGGTGACGACAAGGTCATCATGATATGGATGATAGGGCGGTGAGAATAGTTCTGGCTCCATTGTTTTTTCATCATCTCGGGTTATCTAACTTCGTCTGTTTCATCTTGCGCCTTACTGCGACTTGCGAATTCACACAATGCAGCCACGGAAATTTTGAAAATGGGGCTAAAAACTGCCATCAGAGCCTAAAAACTACAACGGGAAGCTTCACTCTGTGCTGCCCAAATCTAGATTCGAGAGGCATGTTTTCATGCAGAAGATTGCAATAGTGTGTGGCTAAAGGTGTCTTAATGCAAAACACGCCTAATTTGGCAAAATCAATCTGATTACTACCCATAAGGTAAACTATTGCCATGCAGTCAGGCATGGTTCTTCACCTTCTGTTTTAGCACATTGTGAGCAAATCTGCATCTTAGCACTCGTTAATATTTCCAAAACCCGTTCCAAGAGACACAATGCATTAATATAGGTATTGAATATACATATTTTTCATTTTAAATCATTAATATATTGAAGTATTTCACTGCCCTTTAGTTTTCAGAGGTATATTTGGGATCGACTGTAAGTCAATTGAGCACAGGAAGAAAGCGTTACAAATAGATGTGATTCCCTTTTTGCTGGAACTCTAATTAGTGCTTGCCATGCTGCATTGGTTCATTTGATGGCTGCCACCTTGACAACTCCCTTCTCTCCTAGGTATGGCATGAGCTCCTCGGGAATGTTTGGTGGTGGAGGCAAGTCCAATGTGGAGCACTGGAAGTGTGTCAGCACTCTAAGGGGCCATTCTGGAGGTAAGCATCCAGAAAGTTGGTCAGTTTATACCTTACGAAACATTCCAACCTGTCTTACTGGAATAGTCTGCTGGATGTTCGTATTTCGCAAATTCTTCCGAACGGTGTTTCGGCAATATGTAAGAAAGATGCATTGGTACTGGACCGCGCAGTGAAGTAACTGGATACCAGATGTTTCGGATTGTTGTAGCCTGAGGATTCCCACAGCTGATGTTGTGAAGCGCTGCGTGTTGATGGTTGATGGTGGACAGAAACAGAGTCGTTGGCGTTCGTAGCTTAACACTTGGAGTCGTTCCTCGGGCTACCCACACAGCCACAACGCACGTGCCGGGACCCCTGCTGCACGCTAGCCGGGGACAAATAAGCCGATTGGCGACGCTCTTTCACCTTCTGCTTGGATGCGGCAGGTGTGCCGGCGCGTGCATTGCGGTTGTGTGGCTAGCGCATGGAACGTCCCTTACTCTGTTTTATTCTGACCACGCTACCAGGGGCATGCGTGCAGTTGCTCGGTAGCAGCACTAGCGTTTTGGCATACACTGCACATTACAGCTATTCAGCATGTGTCGGTGCGGTCACCTGGCTTCGTTGTGATTGCATCCAAATGCTTTGCGCATCTCTTGTACATTTAGAAACTTTGCAACTCTCCATGTTTAGCCTATGCACACGCTTAATTTTGTGGCACTGTCACGAGTCCTGTTAATTAGGGAGGCGATCGCCGGGCTAATTCCAAGGGCCGAGGTATCGGCCCCCCGAACCGCACCACGAAAGCGTGGACAATTTAGAAGTGGTCCTATTCGGCACGCCAGCGGACGCCGGCTGTGGCCCAAAGAACAAGTCAGAGCCGAGAGTTGATAAACAAAACAAAATTATATTCTCAATTATGGCAGATCAAAACGATACACAAGTATGCACACTCGACAGTAGTTGAATACAATATGTCACCGATCAAAAAACGTACTACACAGTACAATCAGCCATACTTGAAACAACGGACACAGACAACAATACGCACTACAATGCAGTTGCATGCATCGAACAACCAAGACACTTAAAGACTAAAGAGTTAGAAAACTTATTCAGTCCAAAGTTCTTGGAACAAAAGTCTGGATGATACTCTTCCGAGAATCACTCACTCAAAGTCCAGCGTTGTTGTCGTTCCGCTGCCCCCGAAGTTTCTCTTCCAGGAAACCTCGCGTCTTCAATTGGCCGCTCTCCAGGCTCCAAACTTCTTCGCCGGAAACACGTCGGCTTCACACACGCAGCTGTTGCCACGCGTCTTCGCTCGATAGCGGTAGACACACACTCTTGCCTGTAGCTCGAGTCTTCACCCCTCAGGTGGAAATCCTCTTCTTCTCCTCCTTCGTCACTGAGGACAAAAGGCTTCGCCCACACGGCGGAACACCCTACGTACTCTGGCGCAATATTCCTTCTTCTCCTGCTTTGTCACTGAGGACAAAACCTTCGCCGACTACCCAGCGGAACACCCTACGCACTCTGGCGCATACTTTCTTCTTCTCCTGCTTTGTCACTAAGGACAAAAGCCTTCGCCGACGACACGGCGGAAACACCCTACGCACACTGGCGTGAAATTCCTTCTTCTCCTGATCTCCCATCTCTGCTGCTCGGTTAAATACCTTCCGCGCCAGATTTCAGAAAATTCTCATCATTTCGTCGGCGCGATACGTAGCGAAGGCTGAGGAAAGCGCGAGACGGTTCGAGGGCCTTCCGCGTCAGATGACGCAACCCTGCATCACCACGCCCCTTTCCATCCAGAACTTTCCAGGGCCTGCTCGGCCGCCGATGTGAGGAGGTTCGTCGGCAAACTTACGCTTCCGAGGGAAGAGGGACGCGCGCCCGGGGAGTCTTTGGATGCTTGTTTTCTTTTTCTTTTTTTATCGTTGACCTTGAGGCATCTCTCCCGGGCTTCGTCGCAAGAATTTGGCAGCGCGCCCTTTTTTTGAGCGCTCGTTTTGTGACAGGCACTACAACGCAAAACTTTTAATAAATCTCTGGGTAATTGCTATCAAATCAAACTTTTGCTGCATTATTTTGTGCAGACGTCCTGGATCTGGCCTGGTCTCCATTCGATACTTGGCTTGCATCATGTAGTGTCGACAACACTGTGGTCATCTGGAATGCCAAGAGATGGCAAGGTAATACCTAGCTGGCTTGTTTTTATAGTTCTTTTGTCTTTGCAGCTTTTAAATATACAGGAATGTTCTTGCATTTTGAACATTAGAGCATTTTTGCACGCACTTAGAGTATGTGTGTGCATCTATTCATAGTAGTTTGGTGTCTATGTTCATAACGAAACACTTTTTTTGAGACAGCCTTGGCAGTCATTGTTGGCAGATATAGCTGGTCAGGTATACTGGAAACTATTTAATACGCACCACTGACTGCATATACAAGTCTGCAAGATAATAAGTATACAGTGCATCACTGATTTTTCGAATATGTGTGTAAATTTAAATGCTTTCGGGACACTGTCACAAGCCTCATAGATGCGAGTGTATAAGTGTCTGAAATTTCAGACACTGAAACTCTTTTGCATCTGATTTTTCACGATTTCTACCCAAATTGTAAGCAGGAATGACATGAATTGAAGCTCCCATTACTGCGCTGTCTGTTATCTTGTAGGTTCGACATCAGCACTTTCATGCGTGCAATCTATTTGCAGCAAGTAACTGTGTTTGAAAAGCAGCTTTGTCGCAATGCGTGATTGTTATGGGGTGAAGCTGACTGAAAATCCAAAGGGGAAATGCGGCAATGTTTTGACTTAATTGCCGATGACCCTTTGTCATCTACGGATGAATGAATCACTGAGAATCCTAAGCATCTTTGGATAAATGCTAGATAGAGCATTGAGCCTGGAACGGTTGTCGGCGCAGTCAGGGTGGCCACTAGTGGCTACTTTTTGCCAAATTGGTGAATAGGAGAGGCCTGTGGCGACCTAAAGTCATGGTTGGCGACATGGCGATTTTCGGCTTAGGTCTCGACTGAGTTATGTATTTTATTCTCAGCGTCTTTTTCTTTTATTCTCACAACATTTTTTCTATTTTTTGCAGTCGTAGATACACCAGTAAAAGGTCCGCTTTATGCGTAATTCAGTACGTCTGTCCTGTTCCTCGTTTGTTTTTTCTCAATTCACCAGGATCCTTGAGGCACTGGTGCATCGACCAGCAATCTCCAAGCACAATTTAGTTCAGCAGACTTCTCGCGTGCCGCGAGGTAGTGGTGTGTTTTAAGTTCTTTAGGGGCTTCAAGAGCTTCAGGCTTCTTTAAAGTTTGGCTTCTGAAGTGGCTAGGTGGGGGTTAGGCCGCGTGTTCCCACCACAGCTCCAACTGTTCCAAATAGATTGTCGGCTTCTTCCCGGCTGTAGTATTCCCTAATTTTTTTAATAGAGTTTAAATTTTTATTAACATTCTTATAGGGCCGGCCAAAAAGTTGGCTTCTTTGGACATCCTTCAGTAACTGCACTGAAGCAAATGTTTAGCGTAAACATGACCGCACAGAAAACGTGTTGCACGCATTGCAATGGTTGCGCCCTACTTTCGAATTATTACCTTTTTTTTAATTAAGTTGTTCGGTTATCAAACACATCATTCTCCTCAATAAAATTCTCGAAATTTGTAAGAAGGCTATGCACGCCATCCCTCTCTTGTTATAGCAACTGCTTCATCCTGTAATTGCTACAACTAAAACGGTCGAAAATGTTTCTTATGAGGCACTAGCATTCAGAGACGCTGATGGTGCATGCATGCCCTTTCTGAATGCTACCACGGTGAAGCAGGTGATGCAACTGGCATTAAAAAACGTCAATATAAATAGAAGGTGACGTACGGTATTGTTCTCCACGGACCTATACATATATATACTCTTCATTACCAGGCATGCCAGCACATATGTAGAGTGGCGACCTTTTTGGCGAAAGTTTGAAGAAAATGGCGACTTTTGGCGGCTTTTCACTTGTCGTTTGGCGAATTTCACTCGAAAGTCAGTGGCAACCGTTAGCGCAGTGCACGTTTTTTACGGACTGCGCTGCCTTTCAGGCTGCCTGTTCATGCGAAACTGTCGTAGATGCGCCATACAGATGTGTTGCCTTCACGAACGAAAAATGCTTGTCATTGCCCTATTGATGTGCAGTCAGGAACGGTGTGGGCACAACGAACATTTTCACGGCAATCCTCGTGCGTACAGCACTGCATGCACCTGGCATTAGTGGCGTTAGCTTTGTTGGCGATGTGCTGCGCACAACTTGGAACATTCATCTTCACACAGTAGCAAGTTTTGCATGTCAATGGAGATTTATTGTGCGGTAATGCATCATTGACATGTGCACTTGCATCGGGAAACGCAAGACGGGTCAATCAACTCTTCCGCCACAGTTGCCTTTGTGTTCTGTGTCATCATTTTCATATGCTTTATGGGAGAAAGCCGTGACTGTCTTCACGTTTTGCTGGTATTGGCGGTGCTCATTATGAGGTGCAAATTAGCAGTTTTGCCGTTAGCCCATAGTTAAGCAAGGTTTTCGGAAAGTTTTCCTAATGTATTCACATGAGCCCGGGCACATATTGAAATGCGTGATGGGTGTACTGGGAGGCCATTAAAGCCATTTCAGACGTGGCTGTGGTGATTTGAACACTTGAGTGAAATAAAAAGGCATGAATTAGTTTTTCTGGGCGGCCTCATTTTTCGTACGATTTCCCTGTCCGTTGGGAGTCCGAAGAATCAGACGTCAGCTGTTTTACATACCTGCCAAGTCTCCCAGATTACCCGGGAAACTCCCGGATTTTGAATGTTTTTCCCGGTTGTACGGGTCATACGAAAATCTCCCAGAAATCCAGTTTTGCCTCGCGCATCCTACTGCTTTGTCTGGCCACTTGAGCAAAGTTGTCTGGCCACATAGTAAAAAAGATTTTTTCTTTTAGCGATGGTGGCAAGGTTCAACTCAATTCAATGCAAGTTTTCGAGAGGCGAAAATAGCGCCAGAACATGCGGCCTGCCAAGTTGGAGCAGAGAAATCGCACGTGGCTGTGCAGTTTTTGAAGGTCACGCACATTAACTAAAAAGAAAAAACTCAATTGTAGTAGAGGGAGGGCAGTGACCCCGTGGTACAGTTGATGCTTTTGCTGGCTGTTGAATGTGCCAGCATTCCCACGCGAGAGAGAAGAAAAAGGAGAGCAAAAAGGGAGCGCCTCCAGCAGGAGCACTTGCTTGACATGGCGAGCGCGCAGCGCTTTCAGTGGCTGTTCTATTGCAGGCAGCGCTGGGTGTGCTGCTTGATTGACTGATTTGTGGGGTTTAACGTCCCAAAACCACCATATGATTATGAGAGACGCCGCTGTAGATGGGTGTGCTGCTGTTAACCTTTGGGGTTGGGGGGAGGGGGAGCACATAGTTAGCCCTTTACATTGACATAATAGGGAGTGGTGCCGGGACAAAGAGGGGAGTGGGTGGTGCTGACGCTGCGACGGACCTTCACACTCCTCCACCTGTACCTAGAAGGGGAACTGAGCATGCTTATGCACACACCTCACCAGGCATTTTCTGCACCCTTACTTTATGTGACACCTTTCCAGTCTCCCTCAGGGAGCTAAGCTGGACCCTGCTTCCGCAAGGTTGCTCGAACCTAATGGCAGGGCTTTTTTAAGCCGCCTGCCATGATTAACCAGCCGCTTCTCCCTTTTGCAAGGCTGAACTTCTTAAAAGGAAAAAATTCTGTTTTTATATTCGGACCGTTTTCTTCTCCCTGTCTCTCTTATCCCCAACCCCTTTATTGAGGGCTCCTCCTCGATATCCTTACAAAACTCCAACATTCTTGGCTTTTTTGTTTTTTTTTTACTCAGCCGCAAGGGTTGCTAAAAGAGTGCCTGACACTGCCTGTTTTCTTGGCCTATGAGCTGAGAAGGTCGAGCTGGGGGCAGGCAAGTGGTCCGCAAGGACTGTACTATGGTCCCTTGCCCGACAAAATAGCTTGTAAGCAAGCGACGACAGGCCTCGCACACAGAGCGATGTTATCGCATGTGCCCTTCGCGCGACAGTGACCGCCGGGTTGGGTCCCTAGCACTAGGGCGCTTTTACTCGTAAAGCAGACGATGCGTGAGCGATATTATCGGTTTGGACTCTGTACAGATCAGCGGCGACCACAAATTTCCGCTGACAGTGTTCTTATAATAGCTATTGCAATTCCCCCCCCACCATTGAGCAGATGTCCCAGATTGCGTTTCTCCAAACTTGGCAGCTATGGTTTTATCCCTGGCCTTGCAAAAATGGGCCACCTCTGAATTGTGCTATTGAGTACATGCTGGACTTCTGATGTTGAAGTGTAATTAACAAGTCATCTGATCTGTGGCTTGCAAAACTGAAATTTGATGACGCACACGTCATATATTCAAGACAGTTCGAGTAACACTTAACTCTTTTCATGTGGTCTGTCGCAGAAATGTTGGCGGTACTAAAAGGGCACACTGGCCTCGTGAAAGGAGTCTCGTGGGATCCAGTTGGAAAGTACATAGCATCTCAGGTGAGGCCCAAGTTAGATGTGTCTTTGCTGTGTGTTGTTGCGATGCGGGTCCTGGGCACGTTAATAAGCTTAAAGAATGTGCTACTGCTGATAAGGTAATGTCTTGATTTTTTTGTGCAACTGCCTGTAGCGTAGACTCTTAGTAAACGAAAATGTCCTAAACGGAACTGCTATTTAAATGAAACAACTCTTTCAGATATAATTGGTTTCGTACCTGTATTGTGCACTTCTGTTCATTTCACAGTAATTAGAACTATCGTTACGCAAAACACAACTTCATGGTCTTTTCAGGTTTTGTTTAATGAGAGTCTACTGTACTTTAGTCGCTGTAACTGATTAACCTTGTATTTACAGTGTAAGAAGTGACATTCACATGATGACGAATTTCTCGAAGGAAAAAGTAACATGTTACCCTTGTAGCTTACCTGAAAAACGAACTGGTAGCAAGCAACGCATTGTTAGTAATTGTTCACAGTGCCGGGCTGTTGTAATTGCATTGGTGTTTGCACTTTTTTCAGTCTGACGACAAGAGCTTACGGGTCTGGCGGACTCACGACTGGCAACAGGAGTGCATCATCACCGAGCCATTTGTGGAGGTGGGCCACTTTCTGCCACTTTGCATCTTTACGCTTGCCGATTCTCATGCTCATCCTGCAAAGTATGATCCCCATTGATTGTGAAACTCGTTTCTGACTTATGTGTGTTGGGGGCTTTTATTTGCTTTTTCAAATTTATTTTCAAAGCTACGACGCTCAAACCTCATTATAACAAAGTTGCGTTAAAATAAGTGCATTATATCCAAAATGTTGTTATAATGATATATTCCTAACACTATGTCTATTGCAAGACAATTCTTCATTTACTTTGTTATAACTCGATATTTCGTTATATCCGTGCTTGTTCTATTGAGGTTTGAATGTACCGGAAGACTTTAAGTCCTTCAGCATCATATCGAACAACTAATGCATTCCCGAGTCTCTGTGGGCACTGGTGGGGTTCGTCCGAATTTTTTCGAAAAAGTTTGATCAGTTGCAGATCAGTTCTTTAGATGTCTGTGAGGTGTACAATATTAGAAGGGGAAAAAGTTTCACTGACCTGGTTGTAGCGCATCGCTTTAATTAAAATTTATACAAATTTCGCTGGAAGCATAAAGCACTCCTACCTTATTTACTCGCGTAATCCTCGCACTCGCATAATTCTCGCACCCCCCCATCGCCCACTAAAAATACGATTTCTTTTTTTTTTTTTTTCGAGTGATTATCGCACCCCCGAAACTGCCGCAATAATGTCGTCTGCTCATTCCAGCTACTGATGATAATAGCACGTGTCACCTGGCGCCATCTCTTAAGCATCAAGCGTACTATTACTGCACGGAGATTCAATCCAAGCCAAACCAAAGTGGCAAGTGCGCATTGCGGCGTGTTTTGTATGTTGTTTAGGTAATCTTGTCACGTCGTGGGGCAATACTGAAGCTACACGGCTGATTTCAAGTTGAAAGTGATAGATCATGCACTAAACAACGGCAACAGGGCCGCTGGTAGGCCCTTCGAAGTCTACAAGTTTTGTGTTCGCTACTGTTGATGGCAGCTGAAAGCCACCAAGACGCGTTGGGCCTGCCATGTTCCTAAAACTGGGATTGATCGTAAACTTTATTTCTTCAGAAGGAAACTGCAGACGATTCTATTAAATAGCCATCAGCCCAATATTGACGTCCTACGTTTACCTTTTGAGGGTTCCTGTTGCGCGACGAATACTACCGCTACGCCCGCAACACCCACAAGCTTTGCGTATGGTATTCTGATTCTCGACTATTTGCCTGCACTTTTAGTGTCTCAAATAAATCTTGCCTTGTCTTGAACCAGTGCTTTTAATGTTGAGGTAAGTTTTAATTAGTATTTCTCAAAGCTTGCTGTTAGTTGCTGGTGTGAGAATTCCAATTTGTGGCCATTTCGTTTTCTTTTTCGCACTGTACGTTTTCGTTGAAAGCTTTCCCTGCGTAATTCTCGCACCCCCCAACTTTGCATTGGTTTTCTGCTAAAAAAAGTGCGAGGGTTATGCGAGTAAATACGGTATGTGATGAAAAATTTGCTTGGGTACAGTATTCGAACATGAAATTGGACCTGTTGCATAGCAATCACTCTACAGTCTGAGTAACCTAGAGGGTAGCTGAGAGCAGCGTGGCAACAAATTAATTGACAACATGAAGAAAAAACAAGTACGTATCATATAGTATTGTAGTCGCACTGTCACACCATAGTATTTTTAAACAAACTTGACTGTTTCATGCTTCAGTGTGTGTTCGGCCAAAATGCATCAGTTTGTATTTGTTGCAGTGCGGAGGAACCACCCACATCTTGCGGCTGAACTGGTCTCCTGACGGCCAGTACCTCGTCTCTGCACATGCCATGAACAATGCTGGCCCTACTGCACAGATTGTGGAGCGCGACAACTGGCGAACCAACAAGGACTTTGTTGGCCACCGTAAAGCTGTCACATGTGTGGTAAGTGAACATTTTCTTCTGGAATGGCCGCAAGGTGCGCACTGAAAGGGGTGAAGAACTCTGGCTACTACCATAATGGATAATGTGCGGCTCTTTCACTACAAGGCGGGTGGAAACCAAGTTTGGCTCAAGAATTATGTTCGTAACACAGTTGAACCCCTTTATAATAGACCTGCTCCCAGGAGAAATTCTTGTCTCCTATATGAGGTTTGTCTTGTAAGCAGGGTACCACGTATGCGTTTTCTTATCAACACTAATTTTAACACAGTCACGCTGGTGCCTCTTATACCGATTTGTCGGTTACAATAGTGCCGCTTATTAACGGTATGACTGTATACCCTTTTTATCAGCTGCTAGTGCCCTTCACTTTGCTGCACATTTGCCCAACGATCGTAAAGTCTCGAGCACGCAGTAAGGTTTAGTGAAAAATATTGCAACCTGATCAGCCTTAGCTTGGTCACAGATGAAAATTTGAAATGGCCCGTGCTTGCAATGAAATCCTTTGTTGAATATGCATACATTCTCAGTCATTATTCACCCTATGTGGATGAAACAGTGGACGAAACGTCAGTGGTGGGAAACCTGCACCAACTGCAAATCGCTGCGCCATACTGCTCCAAAAGAGTCTTTTTTTTTTTTGTATAATTTGCGCCATTTCTGCGCTACGAGGTTGTTTTGTAACCGAAAGCAATGTTGACAGCATGCATCGTAAGCGGATACCTAATACGTGATCATCGCCACGTTGTATTTGAACCGCTGCAAAAGCACGGCCGAGCTATTATTCCAACTTCCGCGTGTTTGCGGTGGTGCCTTTTCTAGTTACCATTGCCAAAGAACAAAAGCAATGTGGCGACTACCGAAAAGCGTGCCAGTATGACTTATCGCCAACAAAAAGCTTATGTGTGTGGCGTAGCGCTGCTTTATGCCTACTGCATGCTTTTAACAGCCGGTGGCTACATGAGAGCGCTGAGGTGCTGATCGTTTTTGCCTCAATCGTTGTGCAGGACTGTGGTCAGCATGCACCGCTTTTGCAGAAATGAAAGCAGCTCGCTGTTGCGGAGTTGAGCGTTATGGATTTTTGGAATCAAGACAGCAAGCGTAGCGCACTCTTTTATGAAGTGACAGCCTAAACGTGCCTTCGTCTGCTGCCAGGACCACTAGCCCATCCCCTTGAAAAAGCCCGCATCATCACATTAATGCAACACGCTTCTCGCCACATCTGTGTACGGAGTGGACGCCAAGTAGGCAAAGCGCTGCACATGCAACTAGCCAGTAGAAGATCAGCTCCCTGCGACTCTACCGAGTCTCAAATGAAATTGGTCACTAAGTTGCAGATCCTGGTACGCGTTAGCGGACAGCTGATCATGTCCGTTTCATCGCTATGTCAGTCTCTACATCGGCTGCGTATCCCAAACTCCGCAGTAGTTTCAAAATTCTCTTTTGTGTCATTACTGCGAGCCATCAAACAGTTGTGCAAAAATGCTAATCATATCTTAACACTGGCAAAAAGAAAGTAATGGCTTCGTGGTGGGCACTTTAGGCAATATTTGCTGTGGCACTGTATTTATGTCTTCTTTGGCAGGTATGGGGCACATAAATGCAAATTGGTACTTGGTCATAGTCATCCGCATGGGGGAGGACAAAGGAGTGGGGCTGAAAGCCAGTCCCATACATCGACATAACAGGGAGGAGGCGAGAGGGGGGGCACAAAGCCAGCTTTTTACATTTACATTATAGGGAGGAGGGAGGTGCTGGGACCAACCTATGCCCCCCTACCCTGAAGGGGAACTCTGCACACACTTATGTACTTAGTGGTTAAGACTAACATGCTCCCGGTAGGTTCTTCGCATGTATGTACATATTAACGAGGCTTTACTGCAACGAACTTTGAATGTGTCTGTGTGTGCGTGTGCTTGTTAGTGTGTGCACTGCTCTGAACTTCATGCTGCAGCTAGCTTGTTGGTGCAATATATTTCAGTATTTTATGTCACTGCTTCTGTACATAATTGTACTTTTGTTTATTTTGTGGGCTTGCTGCTTCTGTATATATGATTATGTAAACTAAGGGAACATTAAATTAAAGCTATATCTTCTTCTTCTTCAGTGTGTGCTATGGGCAGCCTGTGCGTGCTATCAAACATGGAGATTTTGCCTGCTCCGAAATTCGGAAAGGCATTCCCGCCACTGAAATGGTGAAAATGGCTCTCAAGGGGGGGGGGGGGGGGGGGAGCGGGGGAGCGTGTTCAAGAATTGGTGCTTAGTTCAAATTTCCTGAATAAAAATTGCCAGCACTTTCACAACAAAAGCTGGAAGAGCGGCCTTTCAGAGCCCCCTTTTTTAACATTAACTCTTTGGGTAGCTGCTGCAAGCACACTTGCAGGGTATCCACTATGCCATTAATCATTGTGTTGTAGGCAGGCACTTAATATACCATCTTTAGTAATTCTTCGAAAAGGCGTAGTACCTGCTGCACACTTGGAAGTAACTTTGTGCAGTTTTTTTTCGTGCTGTGGCTGACCGGGATGAAGAATAATGCCAGAAGCTTTTGTAATGTCCTCCATCCCCTGCAGTGGGTATGCGCCATAGTTAATAGGTGGACAAGATCAAGCTTTTGTGAAGGGTAGAGAGCATTCGACGGCCCATTGCGCAATTCGCATTATGTGACACCTAGTTCCTTTGCTGTTCTAAAACGATTTATTACTCACATTAACGCGATTTCTTTCCCGACATCAAGCCTGCCTAAGGCCAGTTTGCAAAGGAGTTTCAAGCACCGGCATGGCTCTGTGGTAGACTACTGGGCTGGCACCAGGGGACCTGGATTCGAATCCCATTGTGTCCTTGGTGTTATTTATTTACTGAGTTTTTTTTTCTTATTTTGTGCGATAATGGTTACGGGAACCGCTGGCGGCAGACAACTACAGCTCTCACGCGACCTGCGTTGGGATCTCCTAACAGCTTTCGCTGTAAACGCAGGATTTGAACTGAGAACTTGTTAAAATCGTGGGCACTTGCTCCGGATTTTGCAGTAATGGTGGCTCCTGTCATGGTTCAAGTGAAGAGGAAGACTTAGTTGCACATGGTGGGGCTTGTCTCGTATAAGTGTTCATAATATTAGGTGCAGTACGTTCTACAAAAAAAGATTTAGTGCAACCTATAAGAAACATTCATTTTCCCCGCACCCGCAGTATGGAAAGAGTTAAGAGGCACTGTAGTGTCGCAGGAAACTGTCCTGCTGCAAGGGGTTCCTCAACTTTATGCGAGTCTAATGCACTACCCGAGAGCTTTACCAGGTAGCCCATCAAAGACCCTTCCAGTGAAGAGGCGATGTTGAACAAAAATGAGACGTTTATTTACTCTGTTACATGACAAGTAGTCAAATGAGCATGCAGCTTTTCCATGCAAGGCCAAAGGGAGGGACACCATCACTGCTACAGGTTGTCACAGTCTGCATCTATGTGCATAAGCTCTTCAGCACTCCATATTGGGGCTTCTTGCCATAAAATGTTTTTGGCTTTCACGTGTAGTGCATGGTAGAAGGGAACAAATAGCTTTCTTTATGCTGCAATGCTGCAATAAGTGTACAAACAGGCATGCACTGCATATGCATACTGAAGCATGTGCACATGCTTCTGCAGTGATTTATAATCTTGAACAGCGTGAGCTCTCATGAAACAACACAGCCCACGTGCTCTGAGCGGGCTACTAAGAAAACCAGAATGACAGCCAGAGCATGCTGTTTGCTTTTGACATGTACTAGCTGCCAGCACCAAGCATAGCCTCTAGGCAAGTGCCTGCTAGGCTCCCTCCCCTGTAGACGATAGGGTAGGGAGCAGGGCCTGTAATTATTTTACAGTTGTGCAGTTATCTTGGCTGATGAAGGATGATGCTGGAACTAGACACCCCTTTTTCGTGCTGCCACTTCTTCATGTTATAAGCTATCACAGAGCACAGGCCATGCACTCGTATCTTTCCTGTTGTAACGGACCGCTTTTAAGATATTCAAAACAGTCCAGAGGGCATCATGGCTTCCAGGCGTCTCTCGGTGGCGAATTTCTGCCAGATTATGTCTTCTGTGAGGCGCTTCTGCGAGAGCGTGATATCAGCAGCACTATGTAATGGCCTTTTATTTAAGGGGGAGTTTGCAAATCGGCAGAAGTTCTTGCTTTTTCATCATTTTTCTGAATGAAACATCCTGTTGTTTTTCATTTTGTAGAGATTCAACCCGCACATCCGATCAAGAGTCAACAAGGACAACAACAAGGTGCTTGTTGCATGACTCTCACCTTCATGAATAATTTTTTTTGAAATTTCACTATCTGCGTTTCGAACAGTCCCCTTTGCTTTAGTCATAGTGGTAACGAAATCGTACTAAGCAACACGGCTGGGCGTCATTTTTCCAGACACAAACCTTTTGCTGCTGTGCCATTGGAAGTCGGGACAGGTCCCTGTCTGTCTGGGTGAGTGAACTATATGGTCAGCATAAAATACTTAAAATTAGTATCACTTTTTTCTTGTGATGTTCAGCTTAACTGATGCCCAACTATCGGTTTATTAGTGTGCATTTGTGTCCGGCCTTTCATTGCAGCTAACCTGTCTGAAGAGGCCTCTCGTTGTGGTGCATGACCTCTTCTCCAACTCAGTGTTGGACATATCTTGGTACGTCGATGTTCGAAGAGTCATTGCATTGGCGTAGTACTGCGAGATTTATTGCTTGCTGTATACTTCATGCCTACGTTGGTACAGTACCCACGCCCTTGTTAGGGAAACTAAATGTTTGGAAATTTCCAGATCTGTGCAAATAGCAAAATTTTGGTGAGAAACAAGTGTGAGTGCGAATTTCATAGAATACTTTTCGAATACTTCGAAATGAAGTACCGTATTTACTGGAACGCCTCGCCAGTATTTTTTTAGGTTTTTGTGACCTGAAGCTGGCCCATGCAATACAGTCAAATACAGTAGACTCAATGATACAAATTCATAGGGAGCACGCAAAATGTTCGTATCATCCCGAATTCGTATGAACCATAACAATCTAAAGCTTATCATGAAGAGGAACAAGAAATTTATTGGCGTGAGCTGCTCCTTGCTGAAAAACTTCGTCACGTTCTTTTGAACTTTTCTGCCTTCGCTATCTCTCAAGAAAATCTCTGGAAAGGAGTAAAACCGTGCCGTGGTTTTTTCACTCAGGCTGCTCAAAGGGAGCGAAAGTGCAAAATTCAGTGGAAGTTTACTCGCTTTGCCACCTAAGCAGCTGGAAAACTATGCTACAATGTTGACACGAAAGAAATCAGTCCTGGAGCACTCACATTTGAGATGTGAAGTAATAACAAAAATACCAGAGCGGCCGGAAAACCACGTTCACGTATGTCCGAAGTGTTCACATTTGTTCTGCCCCTCGAACACGCCATTGCTGCTGCCTTCGCCACTGTGAGAATTCATTACATTTTGCCCTTTTCTTTGGCATTGAAATTCTTACAGAGTTCTAGTTGGGCATGCAAAGCACTGAAAAGAAACAGTTTGCATCTTCATAAACATTGTTTCGGGAGATATGCCAGAAACAACACAAGCGGTCGCATCGGCACAGGTGGTGACGAATTCCGCTGGCTGTGCAAAAGTGGGGCACATTGGTGCAAGCCGACTCGCTGCTGCTGCACCTCCTTCTACTTCAGCTGCTCCCAGCGATCCTAATCGAAGTCAGGCTCACGATGAAAGTGTCCCTGTTGAGGCCGTAAGCTTTGTCGGGCTGTGCAGGCAGTTTGCGGTTGTACCCGATGCAAGCCACCGTCAACGCTTATGCCGCAATTTGAATTTGTGGCCAGTTGTATAGAACATGTGGTTTGAGCCGTGCCGTGAAGCGTAAAGGTGATTTGCTATCGCGTGACGGAAAAACTTGTATTGCACCTTTTTTTTTCGCGTCGGCCTCGGGGTGTGGTTTTTCGACCATTTAGGTGGCAAAGCGAGAGAAATTCCAGTACGTTTTGCTGCATTCGCTTCTTTTTTTTTCTACCGAGCAGTCATGTTGCTTTTTCTAGTAAACAATAAACACTATATTTTCTAACACAAGTGAGTGGAAACATCCTTTAGTCTGGTCTGACTGTGTATATGTAATTTCTAGCATAATGGTAAGCATTCAAGTGTCCAGCAGTTTTACTGTATAGGCAGAAGTATCGTTTTTATGAGCTAGGAGTTTCTTCACTGTTTACGCTTCATAGCTATCAGTGATCTGTTTGTCTCGTGAATGTATCTGGAATTTGTATTTCAGGAGTCAAGAAGGTAACCAGCTACTGGTGTGCTCCTGGGATGGCACTGTGGCCTATATCGACTTCACTGAGGAGGAAATCGGGGTGCCGATTAGTCCTGAGGAACGAGTAAGGAAACACCGGGCTTGTATAGCATACGTAGCTCACCAAGAAATGGTTTTGTTTATTGGACTTTACCTTAAGATAGGGTTGGTAGGTGTATAAAATGCAGCAGTGAACCCAGAACAGAGTAGGCTCTCGGTAAACAAAAATGTCATGAACTACTTATTCAAGTAGTCATTGAATGACAATAATATCAGAATTTATTGCCACACGAATCGATTGGGGCGAAAATTTCCCGAATCCATAAAAAGTGAGATAAGTTATAAGGATTAGCCGCCTGTTTTACGCTCTCTCTCATCTCATGTCCCGACGAGAGTGCTGCGTGCCAGCAGGGAAGGATGGCCTGGAGTTAAGTTGGTGACTTGCATGAAAAATGCAATCACACTTTCACATTGTTATTTTTTTGTGCCAGTGTGAATCACCCTGTAAGGTTAGCAGCACACTATGTAACTCTGCATGGTAGCACCTTGTGGCAAGAAGCACGTCTGACGCAAACACTGCACCGTATGTTCACTGTTGGGCAATAGCATGCTACTTACTACTCGATGTCAAGCAGGGGGTGCCATCAGTTTTGTGTCGTGAGCAGAGCCCAGTGTATGAAAGAAGGGTGTCTGAGAAAATGGAAACTTCACGCTGCTCTTCTAAGCTGTGCTTACCATGCACAACTGCAAGATTTACAGTCCAATATCACTGTAACAAAGTCCGCTACAACGAAATATCCTGCACAACAAATAATTTTCGATTCCTCGTCAGCTGCCCATAGAAAACAATGTAAAAACTGTCTCGTCACAACCAATACTTTGTGGGGATACTTACAACGAAGTTTTGGCGAGTGCTGCCGTCTAAGAGAAAGGTACTCTCCAAGGATTGTCACAAAATTCCGCTACCAGCTCGGTCATTTCTCGTTAGTCATGACATCCAAAGTGCGCGTCCGCATTGCAACACCTGTATTTTCATTGGAGACACATTTTCTGCCACCACATGCGCATCCTGGTAAGTTTTTCGTCATTAGAACCTCGGCGACAGGTTGTGTAACCACCATGCTGCTGCTGGTGGGTTTTACTACACATGCGGGCTGCGGCAGAATCGGTCTTCAAGAACACCTGCCATGTTTTTGACTTCGTGCTTAAAAAAAAACTACAGCTTGTCGTCACCAGCCTAGGGATCGTGAATGACATCGACAGCGTTATGATGGCACTTGAGAGTACAGCGCGCACCTAGTCCAAGTTTAACTACATTCTGCCACAACCGCTGCGAATACAAATGACGGGCAACCACGAAAGTATGTGTGTTGGCTCGACCGAGTACTGGTGCAATGCTGCATACAAAACAGCATCAATGTGAACAAATATAGCAATGACGCAATTCTGAAGCCAAGCGCGTGGCCAGAGCAGCACCCCCCAGATTGAAAACGGAACTACCATTTGCCGCTACAGCATGCACTTGCTTGGACCGAAGAACGAGTCATAATCATATCAGATCTTACTAAATTTTGTGACCTATAGATGAATTATTTAGGCTTGTGCGAATAGTGAATTTTAGGTTCGAAGTGAATAGTGATTTTGATCAAATAATTTTGAATCAAATGGTATGTATGACATAAAAAAGAGGGGAATATTTATCTTGACCTAACTAACCTACACAATATTTCTGTTGAATAGGGGCTGTATGCAAAAGCCATTTTATTTTTCTTTCAAACAAGGTCGAAACAAACTTAAGTAGTAATTTCAGTAGGATGCGAGAGATAATGTGTAAGGTACTTAAGGTTTTGAAATTTATCATACTTGGAGCATATAAGCAATCATAACAAGCTTAATAAAATGAATTGATTTTAAAATAACCTCGTCCTTTAAAGGGGCCCTGCAACACTTTTTCAAGAAGCCATGGAGCCAGTAAACATGCTTGTCGCCTCACAAATTTACCACTGCAAAGTTTCTAGAATCAATCCAGTACAAGCAGGGTTCCACAAATTTGTCGCATGCTGCAATTGCATTCTCTCTTCTCGTCCCGACGAAATAGCCGGAAGCTAAGCAGGGAGAAATGGTACAGCTAAAGAAAATACGTTGCACGCACCTCGTGACCTTGAGCACCTTTTTTTTTTTTTTTTTCGAATACGTGTCTTTTCAGTGTGATCGCGCATGTACTCTAACGACAAGCTTGCCATGCTTAAATCAGCCAATGGCTGTGACCAGAGCCGTATTCGCGACTCCAGCAATTCATGCCGCACCTTGCGGCAATATAGGGCAGCTGCGTACTGAGGTCCAAACAGTCCAAGCGCCAGTCGTGCACAGTAGGAGCACGGTAAGATGGTGCCGCCCGTGAAGAACGAACAAACGGCCAAGCAGATTTCTTCTTTCCAGGTGAGGCACCAGTGTTAACTTGTTAACTCGAACCTATTTAATGACCATTGTTTCTAGTGACTACATGTCACAGTGGCGCCCGAGGTATGTAAACAAATTTCGCAGAGACGCGGTGCGCCATGTGCATTACACACACAACGCTACCACTTCAAGAACGCCGCTCGCGTTCGCGGGACCAAAATAAGATGCTCCGCGTCAACAACCCGCTCCCTTTCTACAAAGCAGCGCGATCTGCAATCACGCTGCAGAAAACTCAATATTTGTGTTAGCGATAGCGGACGCGGTGACCTTCGTGAATCCGCGATGCTGCTGCTGCGCAGCGCCCTCTCATGTTCATTTGAGTTGCCAGTATTCCTTCTTGGCTGTGACAAGTGATTTTCGGGCTTGTGGTGTCATTTGCCGAGGGAAGAAAGAAATTTTTAGCTTTGATAATTTAGTGTGAATTACAGGCCGCGGGCTGCGCTGTAATATTTACCTTGCGTGTTCTCAGTAGCCTCGACTACTGATGGGCAGCGTTTTCTGAGCATGCTGATAAGTGTTGCAGGGCCCCTTTAAATTTAAAAGGGGGCTTTGCGGCAAAGTGGGTTTCCCCTGAATAGGTGCTTTCACAACTTAGCACCCCTACCACGGAGAAAGAAAATACTTCTTGCTCCGTGACCCCTACATTGAAGTGAAACAGTCTTTGCAGGTGGTTACATGCGGATTAATAAACACCTATTCGTTTATTGCGAATACTTCGAAAATATTCGATAATTGAAATTCGAATCTAAGTGATTTCGAATACTCAACTATTCTTTCGAATAATCGAAGCATTCGAATACTCGCACAAGCCTAGAAATATTGCTACAATGAAATTCTGTCACAGCGAAAGTTCTCACGTGTCCCGTCAATTTCGTTGTAGCGTGATATGACTGTAGCTGAAATCTTTATGCACTCATACCTCGATATACCGAAATATCGCTAATAATGAAGTAAATAAATAATAACATTGCAATAGATATACTGTTAAGAATAAATTTAAAATGAATTCCTAGATATAATGAACAGATTTTAGTGTAAGATGCAACTTTGTTATGAAGTTTGATTGTAGCAGTGTCTGCTATCTGCAGGATGTGTTTTTTCACCGAGCCTGAGGGATGGTTCATGACTCTTTTATTGCGATAGCAATGATATGAACACTCTTGACTGATTTTCGCCATGGCCATCAAGTCCCGGATATATATATATATTGTAAAGAAGCTTCCGAACACTGAAATCGGTGGAACTCTCACGTGCCTTCTAGTGGGTCTACCCAAAAGGGATGCCGCTCGCGCTGAGAGCCCGTGCTTGGCCGTTACTGTCGCCATTGTGCTTGCTCGCTGTGGGCCGGCTAATAAACGCCTTAACATTTTGGTGGAGAGTGCTGTGCCCTTCAAACATCTTCGGTTCACATTCGATGCCCTTGGAGCTTAGATCCCGCACCGTGCCTTCAACCATGCAACAAGACGCCGCCCAGCAAACGCTTCCTCCTGCGCCGACGCCATGTTCCGGTGTCCCCCGCATCCGCGACCCACCTGTCTTCACCGGCGCGGATGGCACCGACGTCGAGGACTGGCTCGCCATGTACGAACGCGTCAGCGTCCCCAATCATTGGGACGAGGCAGGTAAACTCGGCAACCTGGTTTTCTACCTCGCGGGTGTGGCCGGCATGTGGTATAACAACCACGCGTCTGATTTCCCAACCTGGTCCGATTTTAAGACCGCTATCACCAACGTTTTTGGCCGCCCTGCCGTTCGTAAGCTGCAAGCCGAGCAGCGCTTACGCGAACGCGCTCGGCAGGCCGGTGAATCATTCACCAGTTACATTGAAGACGTCCTGGACCTATGCAAGAAATCCAATGACAGCATGTCCGAATCAGACAAGATCCGGAACGTCATGAAGGGCATTGCCGATGATGCCTTCACGATGCTGCTTGCCAAAAACCCAGGCACAGTAGCTGAGGTCATCACGCTGTGCCTGAGCTACGAGGAGCTCCGCCGGCAGCGTTCGATGACCCGTCGCTCCACACCACGACATGCAGGGCTTGCAGGCTTCGAGGCGAGCTGTGACCAGGTGGCACTGCTGGCAGACCTCAAGTCCTTCATACGTGAGGAAATCGCACGGCAGTTCTCTCTCCTGCCCTTTGCCCACCCACCGGCTGCTCAACAATCGGCCACTACCATTTTCCCCCCCATCCGCCGAGCGATTGAGCAGGAAATAGCGGAGGTCATACCTGCGTACCACCCACAACAGCTTCCGGCTGCTGTATCCCCAAGTTACGCCCTAGTGGTCGCCGGACCGCCTCCAGTCGTTCAAGCGCCCGCCCCACTGACTTACGCCGAAGCTGCCGCACGACCTCCATCCTTTGCAGCGGGTATGCCGGCTACGTATGTTGACGTGACCTCTCAGACTCAGCTCCAGCACCCCCTGCAGCCTTTCCAGCCACAGTTCCGTCCATCGGCTCTTGCGTCATGGACAAGACCTACCCCGGCGAACCGATGGCGCACATCCGACAACCGGCTCATTTGCTTTGCCTGCGGTTACGCCGGTCGCGTAGCACGTTATTGCACTCGCGTACAGACGCCCCATATCTCGTCGCCTGTTGCTGGCCAGATCAGGCGTACCTA